TTCATATATACTGCTACAACCAAGTAATAACTCTTAGGAATTAAAAATCCATATGGCTCTCTCAGCTGTACTACATAACATGTGCAGCAGCTGCTCTCAAAAATACTATGACTGTTATTAAAAAAGGAATTAACTCCACTGAATGGCTTACGAAACTGCAAGTTATTACTAAACAGAAACAAATTTAGTGTAAAAAATGTTCAGAATCTTCAAGCTGACCATCTTTTTTTGTCTTTTTCGTCTTTTTCATTGTCACTGTTTGTTTCTGGTTGCATTTAGATGCCGTAATCATGACCGAGGCCCCCCAGGAATACACATTATAAAAGCACATGCAATATTCTAGTCTCATCCTGTTACTGGGGAAGGGAAGCAGGCAGGGGACGAGACGTACAGATGTAAGTGCCTCAGGGCTTGAGTTATCAACTCGCTCTCGAAGCAGCTGCTCCCACTGGCGAATCTCTTATGGATCAGTAGAGGAGAAGTACAGCCTGATGAACCCCACCAGGCTTTGCAGGCTGGGAAAACCATTGGGAAGGGTTAAAAACTCCCTGGAGTCGGAAGGGCATCAATCCCTTTTGGCAGCCGTCCATTTTTTCTCCATCCTGGCTCGCTTCTCGGGCTGTTCAGCCTTTCTCAAAATGAATGGTAAATCTGGTGAGGGAAAGGGGGATTATGCCACAAATTTTCTGAGAGGCTTTGGCCAAATTCCTTCATGTTTGAGTAACCGTTTCCCTGCCTGTAACATGGGGGTAATATTTAATTAAGTTATGCAGAGCATAATTCTCGTAAGGCCTCCTTCTTCAATGCTTGTCATGTGAGTTTGTAATGTGAAAGGAGCTATGTTTAAAGTAATTAATTTAGGATCTGTGTTGCTGATGGCTTTGCTGGATTTTAGACTCTCAGTGCCAGACTAGTAATTACATAAGACTATAAGCCCTGGGCACTCTGAAGCTTTGTCACCAATGTCATTTTTTATTTATATTACATGGTAAGCCAGTGTGCAAGCCTACATTTAAGCCTAAACTGACCTTGCATACAGATTTTAACGAGCTCTGGCGCCTCAGAAGGCAGAGAGTCCTCATGATCTCTTAAATAGGGCCCTGTGCAGTCTTGTCTGCTTTGTGAGTGGGCTGGGCACAAGCATTGCTGTGCCAGTCATAATATATTCTGTAATATCATATCGCTGGTGGGAAATGGACGAGTGAGCTCGAGTTTCTTCCAAGAAGGCTTTAGTGTTGTATGCAGCAAGGTGCGATGATCCGAGCAGGCAGCTGAGCTGCAGATATTTGGGGGATGACTTAAGTCAAGGGAACATACTTTGTAGCAACCCGATTTCTGGCCAGATCCAGTGAGCTACAGAAACATTGTTTTTTGGATCAGGAGGCAGTGTCTCAAGTTTTCCCTGGAGGTAACTTGGACTGGCTGGGAAGGTTAAAAAAAAATTAATCTTGAAAAGGGAAGTCCTCCTAACAGCAAGAGACGGTCTACGCAGTGCCACTGCCCTAGCTCTGCCACTTAAAATGTGATCAAAACCTAACAAAACCCTCTACTTGCCGAGATTTACTGCTTCACAGACCAACGGAGCGAAATGTAAACTGCAATACATCCGTCTTTATTCCACAAGCATCCCTGGTTCTGTTATTCCCCTCTCCGGTCCCCCTGGATGAATAGCCCTTTCCCCTCGCCACGCTGAATGGCCCAGGTGACTCCGAAACCTGCCACCCAGCAGATGCTTCCGCAGCACCAACTGTTCCGAATCCCCCACCCCATCTCTGCCTCTATTTTTTCCCCCCTCCTTCCCCCGTGTCCTACCAATCTCGGCTGCCTGGCACATGCTGCAAGCTGCAGTCCCACCGGAGTGATATTGTGATGGAAATGAGGGAGGGGATGCAGGCAGAACTGCACAGATTTACAGCACTCTAAGGGTTTCCATTAAAATCCTTGACAACTTGTTATTTATGAGTAGACCAACAGCTCTTCTAATATCCAGGGCCTAGACCCCATTCACTTCAATAATGCTGGTTTGGAATAAATGAGCCAGAGGATGGAAACCAGTTCTGTTAGTATAATGGAGGAGGCTAATAGCTGTTTAGAGAAAACAACTGATGTAATTCTGGGACCCAATCCTTTCACCAACAAAACAATAAAGGTTCGATTCTTCGGTGCGTTTCACGTAGTGATTTAGTTCAGGACAAAGAGGGTGATAAATGGCAGCGTTTGGATTTCGTGCCGTTATATACCCACTCAGCACTCCCTGTTTGTACTGATGCACTAGAGATAAAGGGTCTCGTTGACTCCTGTGTGAGCAGGAATAGGTCAGTCTGGATCTCCACAGCAGAACGAAGATAAACAACATGGCCTTACAAAATCATTCAAGAAACACCTCTCCGCTCTGCATAGGTGTAATATCTTCATTTTTCAGTCTCACAGGAGCCTGTGAACATTTTCTTCCCCAGATTTTTTCTGAGCTGCCCAACCTGAGCCACTGTGGCAGTCTGTCGTTTTAGAACATTTTTTTCCACCATTCCCTTTTCTGCTCTTTTCCCCTTCCCATCAATGACGTGTCAAATACAGAAGTGCCTCCACTTACCAAGTACAGGACTGATCCCTTACGTAAGGACGTCGGTGATCAAAACACTTTAAGCCCTGGATGTGCATTATGCTGCTCTAAAGAATTATTGATCTCTTCTGATGTGTCTTAAAATCAAACTGACAAGTTGATTACTGAGTATAACCATTCAATAGCTGACTTGTACATGGCTTTGCTTTTCCTCCTTTGTTCACCTGCATCTTGTCTATTTACATTCCTTTTGTCGGGAATCTTTTTATTTCCTTTCTGCGTCCTGGTCTCTCCACGGGAGCCTCATTAAGGTGAAGCGAGGAGAAGCAGCGCTCCCAGACCGCGTTCTGCGCAGATGGATGGTGCCCCGTGCCTCCACCTCCCCCTCCTCTGCACCCCAAACCTCAGCTCTGTGATTTTGGAGGAGACTGGTAATACTGAAGGTCCGAATTTCCTCTTTTTCCAAAGAGGAAAGAAGACATGGATAGATGAAGAGGAACCAGGAGGAGAACAGGTGGAAGAAGGAGGCTGTTCAAGTGAGGAAGAAGACTGTGGCTGTGCTGTTGGGAGTCACTTTCTAAAAGAAGCCGAGCCACCAGGCAGTTCTTTCAGCATCCTTCCAGATACTCCAACTTTGAGGCTGAAATAATTTGGGAATCTGAAATCTGGAGTTGTCTCCCTCGGGGCCAATCTGTTTTCTGCACCAAAAATAACTTTTCCCAGGCAAAAGAATGGTCTTTCCTATGAAATGAGCTGATGTCAGTCGGTACGTGATGCCCTCTGTGACCGCAGTTTGCAGCGTGTCCGTGGAGCTGAGAGAAGTTACCCTTTGGTTTGCATTTTACACATATAGAGACATACACAGAGATTTCTCCCACAAAGTATGACTTCTTCCTTTTAGGTACATTTCTAATGAATACCTCTTCAGATGCTACATGAGTTCGGGTATAAACTGTGCCAAACCCCTACTGTCTCTCTTGAAAATTTATTTCAAAGTCCTTATCCAATACATATCAGTGGAATATTGGATCTCATCCAAAATATAACTATATCTAATTATCAGCCATTTGAGCTACTTCTGTATTAAACCGTAAAATTGAGATAGGATTGAAACCTCATATGATTCCAAAGGCTAAATGCAGCAGTAACATAAATAATGCTGTAAATTACAAGCAAAATGAAAACTTGGTCAGAAAATATATGATGTAATTTGTGCTTAGGGGTAAATTGGTCCCTGGCTGCCCAGGGTAGGGAAGGTATGACCTGCATCAGGCCGCAGTGTATAGCTGGGAGTCTGAACCCGTGTGATTATTCCAGAAAACAAATGACATACCTTAAACTACTTCAAAAAGCCAGCATCCTCCTGAGATTTATTGCCGTCTGACCCCCTCTGCCGGTCACCCGCTCGCTCCCAGGGCCAGCAGCTCAACGGAGGCACCCAGATTTGTAGGAAGGATAGGAGCAGGCGAGTGGAAAACGAGAGGTAAAAGGGATGGAAAGGCAATTTGGGGGCACCAACACTCGGCACCGGCAGCTCGAGGATGTAGATGGCATCGTGTGTGACATAACTCTGACCCCGGGTAGCCTGGGTTGGGTTTCAGATACAAGCCACCAAAGCCAGTACTAGCAATGGTGTAGAGAGGAAAGAAAGAGGTCTAACTGGCATTTGGGGGAACTACCAGGTTTTTTCGTAAAAATTCCTTTTGTATCTCTCTGTGTTTTATCTGCTTCTGTCAAGACGTAAGGCAGTAAAAGAAGAAAAATGTAATTTAGAACGAGGACGTGCGGGAAAAGGTTGGGGGGAAAGCCTTTTCTTGAAAAACAATGGGGCTTTTCCTGAGGAAACAAGTGTTCAGTTAAAAATAAGCCTCATTTTGATGGAATGTTCGATTGTCAAAATTGGGATAAAGCTATGCCAGGAATGCTGAGATATAGTAATCAATAATGTCAAAACATGTACAATACCAAGTATTTTTTAATTAATATTTTATCATCCCAAGTGAGGAGGTTTTCAGCTTTTTCTCCTAGCCTTGGGAAAAAAAAAGTATTGATACAGTGAATGTTCCTCTGACACAGCAGAAATTCACCCAGCTCTAAGTTTTTAGACCAGCGCTGCTGGGAAAGGGGGTGAACACACAGACCCCAGACAGCTCCTGGTCCCTTCGTGTTATCCCATACTGTCCTGTGGCCTTCATGGTATATTTCCATGCCGTGAGGAGCCGCTGAGGATCAGCCAGTTCAATGTGTGCTTTTTGTTAAACACAAACACTCCTGCTACCCACAGGGATACCGTGTTGTGTGCTAGAAGTTACTCAGAGAGGTGGTTAAGTACTTTGTTAGACAGAAGCTTCAGCAAGTAATTGAAAGCTGGCAATAGCTCCCTTAAGACCCCATCAATTCCTCCAGTTTATTTCTTTAAGAACGAACAGACACAGACACCTTTTTCAAAGATTTTCTCCATATAGCTTTTATTTTTGTTTGCTGTTATTTTCTTTTACAGTTTTTTTTTTTTAAATAATGCTGACCAGTATAGTACACCTCAGGACAGAAATACTCTGTTTAAAGCTAGGTTGATAAAAAGTTTGTGTAGAATCAAAACAGTAAAACATTTTGAAATCTTTATTACTCTAAATACTCTTACAACTCTATGTAAACGTCTTAGGATTTTCCGATGCTTCAGATATTCAGCAGGAAACGCAGTCTAATACATCTGGATAATAAACCTTTCCCCATTTGTGGTTGCATGGAAAAAGAGCTGTTAATCATAAATTGAAAATCCTGAAGCAGAAATAAAAATAGTAACTGGATAATCTGTGCATAAAGCATTGTAATATCATAAGGCACTTGGTTTTGGATCACAACATTTTGGTTTGAGAGAACAGGCTCTTCTTGTTAAATCAAGGAAGTTTAGAAATGTAAAAAAAGAAATAATCCAAATTTATAATTTCCTCTAAATAAGGATGCCCAGTTTCTGACCGAGACACCATTTATCCTCTGGGCTGCTTTTTCGCTGCTTTTCTACGGGCTCCACACACACTGACCTTCCCTGTTGCAGAAATGTCAGGTTTTCCTCATCTGGAGATGGATGGAGAAAACAGTGCACGTGCCTCACCCTGGAACAAGCCGTGCTGCCGACTTTGCTGGAGGGCCCTGAATCTCCAGATCTGCAAACAGATCCTTATAAATACATCTCTTTCCCTTGATTTACAGCTGATAGTGAAAGATGTATTTTTATTTAGACTTTTTCACTTATTAATAATTACTTCTGCATTCCAGAAGCTGAGCAGGACTGAAGGTGTGATCCTAAAAGATTATACAATGTTTCTGGTCTTTGGTTAGTAAACACAGTGCTATATTAAAGAATAAAACCTTTATAATAGAGGTGTTTCAGCCAAGTGCAGAAAACTGCTGTACTGCATCCCATCACCTGGATCCCCACCTGGATGAACGGTTACGTGGCCAATCCTGTTCTAAAGAATGGGTACCACATTCAACTGTATTACTAGTAAGAGGATTTGTAACTCGTTTAACAAGCACATATACTTGATCCAAGACACAGGACTTAAGTTTTGTTACGTTGATTCAGTTTGAGGATGTGGGTGCCTAACCTCATTTATGCATTGGTCACGTACTGCATGGAACAGAAAGCTCCGTCAGTCACGTCTGGGTGATCTTATTAGCACGAGTCAAGCCTATACAGTGATTTTGGTCTATTCTATGCTGCAGCCTCTTATTCTACAGAGAAGATGCAAAGTCAGAATTATTCCAGGTTGTGACAAAAGACATGGTCATCATACACCTGCTTATTGGCATTAACAAAGGTCTCATGGCAGATGGGGCACTCCAGGAGATGGCTCTGCACGTGGGCCTCATACTCATGGGCTTCGACGTCTTCAGGAAATACTTCATTGCACATGGGGCATTTCCTTATAGAAACCTGAAGTACAAAGCAAATGTAAATGAAGTCAGTTTAAAAATTATGTTCAAAGAGAAGAAACAGAAGAGTTTAGTAGCCAGATATTATCACTTTTGGACAAGTCTTCCTGACTTCTAACACTCTCAAGTTTTCAAATGTCTCCAGGCTTTTCTAAATAGCACTTAAAAGTCAAGAGCTTCGGAGAGGTACTCTAACTTTCCATCCTACATAGCACATGTTCATATCTCGACTATGAAATAAGGTATTTAGCAGCTGCATGCTGCTCGCTCTGACAGTAGATGCTGCCAAGAGCTGGTCCTTAAAGATTAAGGTCAACAGAGTTTCCTTTCTCTTCATTAACACATATAAGTCTTGTTAATTCTGTATGTTAAACATACATGGCTCCATTTTGTTGTCCACTATCTTACCAGGACTAAACCAGACAATTAGTTACAAAACTGAACTTGAAGCTTTTTATTTAAAACCACTAATTCGTGTCCATAAACGGCAAATTCATGTCCAGTCGTGTCCACTTTACTTACAAAGTCTGCAGCTCCTGCCCCCAGGTTTGCTCCTGCTGCTGGAAAAAAAAGAAGTCAATTTAGCCACAACAAAGTGATTAACAATGTAATGTGCTGATAACTAGTAATTCTTGAAACATGAGGATGTGGCTCTGGATCTAAACCTCTATATTTAGGACTATGGAAACTGGACATAAGCCACAGAACTAGCTGTCTCGCAGCTGAACAAACTAGCTAATAGTTGTCTGTCTTGGCAGAAAATGAGCAGACAGCTGATCACTTAAGTCAGCTCTTAACACCTGGCAGCATTTTGCAGCTGCCAAGTCATCTGCACACAAGCAAAGCTGCACAGAGGTGCTGCTGATAATGTCTGTTCTACAGCATTTAATTCGAGAGGGAGGATAATTTGCTGAGAGTCTTAACTGCCGTGTATTTGCGCTTACAGACAGAATGCCAAGTAATCTCACCACAATAGGGACTTCCAAACAGAAAGCCTCCTGCCTCTGGACCTGGAACTGGAGCTTGAGCTTGTGAAACAGCAGAGGAGGAAGAAACCTCTCCAGCCTCCAAGAGACGCCTCAGCACTTCATTCTCTTCCCTCAGTTTCTGCAAAGGGACAGAAGGGCAGAATGAATTTCCAGACACTCAGGAGAGAAAAGTACTTTCTTTGTCTTGAGAAGAGACGCTTTTCAGAGAAAAGTAATGCTTTGCATTAAGATAGATCCTCTTATATCAGAATTAAAATTGCTCTGAACTTCTTTTAGGTAGCTCAGCATTAGTCCTGCTTGATAGAATGGGGAAGTGAGGTAAGGAAGGGCATGGATCTATTCTGTGGCCTGCTCAGGAAGGCAGACAAGATGATCACAATAGAATAATACATTTTAAAAGACAGAAGACTATCCCGAAGTCATGCAGAGTAGGGAACAAAACTGAGCAGTCATTGTTTAGACTGGACAAAAAGGCTATGTCCATTCAAACAAGTAAGTCCATTCATTTCAGTGGTGTCAGAATGAAGCTATCATTCGGAGGTTTTGAAAATCCCCACGCTATGATGGATAAACCAGTCTATTCTGTGGCGGGGGAAAAAGGTGGCAGTTTTGGGGCCCTTCCTCAGGGGCTGTACAGTCGTGGCAGCAACAACACACTGCGAGTGTGCGCACACGGTGGTTTGTATGTGCCTGCAGACAGCCTGGCTTCGGTGATAGTCCTCGAGCAGGCACAATTAGTGATCCATCTGGTGTAAGGGTTAGTGGAACCGAACACTAGACTGGGAGATCAGCGTCGCATTCAATGCAGGGAGTTGTGCCAAGTTCTCACCTGATTTTCCTCATCAGCTTCATCCTTTTTTGCCTGCAGAATCTGAAACAAACGCTTCTGCTCCTCAAGTTCTTTCATCAAGTCCTGGTTTTGTTGCTGTGAAGGAAGAGTGTTATTTGGTAAACGGTGGGAAACTGCAATTAAATGATGGCAGCTCCAAGCACTGGAGCTCTCATATCCTTGATGCCTCAGTCTGCATTGATTACCCACAAATAACCTTCACTTTCAGTGCGAGTCTTACCATGTCAGAGTTTATCACTTGGGATATCTCCACGTCACCACTCACGCTCTGTATTTTCATTATAGCATGTGAGATGACACCTGACCTCCGAAGGAGCCGAATGACGGGTCAAACAAAGAGGGGGGGTTGCAGAAAAGGAACTCATACAGCTGAAAAATCCACCCTGGCAGGTGAGAGCTACCCACGTCTGCCAGGCTGCCTGGTGCTGTGAGACTTGCACCGGCAGTGGATAGCCAGTACATCCTCAGGAATTAAATCTTGTAGCTGACTCTTGAATTAAATCAGTAAATTAGACAAGCAAGAGACTCTGCAGTCAGTCTCAAAGTATCCCTCTTAAGAATCCTGAACATTTGGCATCCCAGCAGAGGTAATCACATCGTCTATTTTAGGCATCTAATTTTCAATGCCAAAGTGAGAGCAGAGCCTCCGAAAGCTTCCCCAGCAGCACATACAGAGAGAGAGGCACCTTTAGAAGGTCACTCAGGGCAACAGGCTAAAGATGATGTGACAGCCTCAGTCATTGCCAATGATGGTTTCTTCAGGAGAAAGAAAGGCCACAGCATGCTGCCCTTTTCTTTTATATCCTTCACATTCCTTCAAGGAGTGATTTCCCACACAATGTGCAAGGCTCCTTGTTTTGCTCCTTCTGCACAGAAATCCCAGATTCTCAAGAGTTGCAAAGAGGTGGTGAAGAAGGATGTGGGGCAGAGCACCAAACTACAGAACAGAAACTGTATCATTTACAGCTTGGCTTGGTGCATTCTGCCCATCTTGCATTTATTTCATTGATTATTAAATGCTAAATTTAAGATATTAAAGATGAGAAAGCGACAGAAATATAAACAGAGAGGAGAAGAGCAGCAAGGTTGCTGCCTCACACCAATTACTAGTCAGCTTCAGTGCCACAGCCTCTCTGCTCAGGCTCCCCCAAACACCCTGATACTCAGGGAAGGCTTTACCTGTTGAATTCCAATCGCGCGTAACTGGCGATTCTCTTCCTTCAAACTTTCAAGCTCCTCTGTCTTGTCACGGTCCACGAGAGACAGGCTTTCCACTTCTTTCTCATAATTCAGCACTTGGGACTAGGGAGAAAGAAGGGTGGGCAGAAAGTGAAAATGGAACAGCTCTGAGTGAGGAGCACAAGCACCTTCTGCTGCAGAAAGCAAAGCTCCAAAACCCATGGCTGCTTAAACCGTTTTTTTCTGCAAACATTCTTCCATTACAACCTTTGTAGAAACTGAGAATAGTTATGTGGGGATGTACTGGAGCCGATAAATTCATCAGGACACAGTACTCATTCGTACCTTCTCTGAGGAGCTTTCTAAATTTCAACATGACACTTTCAGTCTGGGCAGTCAGAGAGCAAAGAGAAAACCAGGAACTCTACACCAGCAGTTATCCCATCGTTCTGGGTCTCCCATGTCCCAGACCTAAAACCACGCTATTTCCAGTCTGCCTTCTCCTTTCACTGACCTCCCAGCTACAAGTCTTGTTTTCACCCAAGTACTGAACATAATTTTAGGATGTTTTTCAAAAGAGAAGTGTTTTCTGCCTGGATCCTTAGCTAGCAGGAGGTGAGCAACAGTCTGATTTTGGACAACTTAATGACCATGCAAAGGGGCTGTTTTTAGGGAAGAAAATCCTTACAGTTTCTCTTAGCACATCCCTCTCTACCCTTCCTTCCAGAACACAGATTTCTTGAGGTTTCCAGGAGGTCAGATCATATCAAAGATTGACATTTTCCTAAAGAACCCAGGTAATCAGAAAAGAAACTCATACACCACATATTTGCTCAAGATTGCTCAGTGCTCCGTCAGAGGCAAAGCGAAGGAGGCAGCTCCGTGTTTGCTACCTGCAGCTGGTCCATGTGATCCAGGGCTGATTTCAGTCTGGTTTCCAGGCGTTCCTTGTCAAAGGTCACATTCTGAATTTGCAAGTTGAGTCTATTCAGAACAAATCAAAACACACCGTACTTTCACGGATGGAAATTTAATCCATAAAGGCAAGACGCTTACGTGAAATTCTGCTGTAAATACACTTACTGGTGCAGTTCTGCCTCTCTGCAGTCATCCAGCTCCTTTAGATGTTTATTTTCCTTTTTCAGGGAATTCAGCTCCAGCTCCAGTTTCTCTGTGTTGCTCTTTAGAGACTCTAAATTATTCTCCAGCTCCTGAAAATCACAGTGAAGTCGACAGGAGGTAAATGGGACCCGAGCAATAGTTCTGCTCTGCACTGCAAAACCCCTCAAATGCAACAATTCCAGGGAGGGAGGGAAATCTCTTCTTTGCATCCTGACTATTCTTTCAGACCCCATTTAATTTATATTAAATCCTGAGCAAAACTGAAGGAGGAAAAAATAACGATAATGTGATTTTTGGGACAGCCTACATTCCCGTATGTTCCTGACTCCTGTGTCTGTTGATGCCTCTTGTTCATCATCATTGTTCTTATCACAGTAGGGGTCTTCTATGATTTGGTAAAGGAATAAGCAGATAATACGGGAAGAAACCTCTTTAGTTTTCTCCTGGAAGCATCCAGTGGAACAAAACCTGACTCAGTCCTACTTTGTCTTTCAGATTTAAAGCTTCTGACTTATTTTATTCACTTTTTTTTTGTTTACCTGCATCTTGTTGAGCTCTTCCTGCAGATCCATCTTTTGTTTCTCGAGACTCGCACAGCTTGCTTTCAGCTCCTCATTTTCTTTACGCAGATTTTTGTTTTGCAGTTCAATCTCTTCCACTTCTCCCTGGCAAGCAAAGTCGTTCAGTCATAACAGAAGCACTGAAAAGCCACATTCCAAACAGCACAGTGTGAAGAGCAAAGAAAGATGAGCTCTGCAAAAGGGAACAGCATGTACCTCCCCAGGCTTCTACCACCAGCACAGCCCAGGCAGCTGCTTCACCCTCCCCAGTCTGTCCAAAGCCGACCATCAAACCAACTGGAATAGTGAGCATGTACTGCCCCTGATGTTTTAAGGTGCTCAATCCTTTCTGTGTCTGCAGAGTTCAGCAGAGGCAGAGGTTTGGGGCTTTTTGCAGTTTGTTAAAATTAGGACCATACGGGCAGTGTAGTCATTAACAACAGGGCTACGCACAAGACACTGCAAAGTAAGAGTGGCTTCACAGCACCTCAGTTATTGTCCTTGTGCGTGCTCTTACTCCCATCTAATGAGAGACTGTTTCTAAGAAAATGACATTTTCATTTAAAAATATTCAAAAGGCCCTCAACCCCTATGTATTAAGTCACTCCCCGTTGCAAGGAGCTCACGATCTAAGTCATAAATGGCAGGCAGGGAAACAAAGGCTGCCCAAATTTGTGTGAGAGATCAGCAGCAAAGCCAAGAATAGAATCCAAGTTTGCCAAGTTCTAGCTTGGCATCCAATCTACTGGATCGCTCCACGTCAGCAGTGAGCATATGCCAATAAAAGCAAAGACAGGAAAAAGCAAGGGAAGAGAGAACACCTACCTGTGTGGTAACCACCAGGATATCGTCCTCCGTCTCCGCTCTGAACTGGAAAGGCACGCTGGCCCCCCGCACCACCCCGTCCTGGTCAATGTAGCAGAACTGGTAGTATTCATCGTCTTTCGGCAGGTAATAAGCTTCAGACAAACACAACAACCCCGTCACACGCAGCTTTTAATTATTCAAGTCTCTTAACTCTATAGCACAGAAAACGAGACCCTCAGAAAGCTGAGACATCCTAGCTGAGTATTGCTCCTGCACCCTTAGTCGTTCCCCGGGGCCGGGATAAGAAAATAAACAGTATCACTCACTCAGGACGGTAGAATTTAGCAGATTCAAAATGATGTGATTTACTATGGGGTTTGAAATAAGCCCCCCAAAGCACAGTCCTGCAGATACCCTGTAACTCCGAATGCAGTGCTAACTGGTGGCAGGAAAGAGGGGGTCTGGGTGTGCACGTGTTCCCCCCCAGTGACCCAGGCTCCCCACTCACCTTTGAACTGGATCTGCTGCTGCACAGCGGTGTCACTGGGGGTGTCACTGGGGGTGTCACTGGGCAGAGGAGCCCACATGAAGGTGTAATACTCCCGGGTTGTTTTCCATCCCACCTGCGAGAGCAAAATTCTTATGGCATCACACAGTTCATGTTTATCCCACGGTAATGGGACTGCATTTTCACACAGATCAATTACTGGGAGGGTTTTTGTGTTGATATCCTAAGAGCTGCGGTCTCTGCATGAGGGGATAATCAGTGCTTGATTAGCCTTGAAGCTCTTCAGGTCACAACAGGTCTGGCACTTTGTCCCTAGGCTGAGGATGTTCCATTACACAAGGTTATTACTAAAAAAAATCCCCAACTCTGTTCTGTCAAAGGCCAGGCTGTTTGTGGCTGCCTGTTGCTGCCCTCTCGTCCTTGGCACGTCAGGTTTCACAGGACTCACTTACCCGGAAGATGCCCACCCAGTCCTTCCCACGAGGAATGATGTTCTGTGTGAGGGTGTAATAACAGGTTATGTCTCCTCCAGGAATATAAAACTTCTCCACGTTGTTAAAGACGACCTGGGAGAAGTGGCAGTTGTCTAAGAGGACGGCAGAAGTGGGAGGCTCATCTGAGGTCTCATCCATCGTGGAAGTCTGCAAGAGGAAAGAAACAGGGGATTAGCTCATTTTCAGACGCTGCCACCGATTGTGCCCATGAAGTGTATGAAGAGCTACAGCTTGGGAATGAGACAGTGGGAGGTCCAAAACCCCCTACGGACACAACCAGGCTTCTCAGCCAGGCATGGGAGGTCACTGGTGTCCCTGCTGCTGTGGCCAGGCTGCTCCTGACACCACGGCAGCTTGTGGATCCTCTTCAGCAGACACGTGTAAGACTCCTTCATCTGAGCGCTGCTTCCCAGCGGTGCTGCCCGGTGCTCTGAGGCTGCCAGGGTGGCACAGCAGCCTCTCTCCTCCATGGCACCCACGGGCCAGACCCGCTGGCTGTCCTACAGGTCTCCTACATGGGAGAGGCAGCGATGCTTCGCAGCAGGAGAAGCGTGCACGCCTGCTGTGGGACCCCGGGCTTGAAGACCCTGCTGGAACGCCGACTGTCCCCACACGCAGCCCCACATCATGTTTTTAACATGATCTGACACTCCAGGCACATCCCCACCCTGTGGAGTTAATGTGGGGGTGCGTCAGCTCTGCCGAAATCCAGAGACTAGCGTATTGCTCGAGAAGAACAGAGGTTCTGCTGCATCAGTGAGATGCTCCGACAGCAGCGCAAGACAAAAATAGCAACTTCCAATCTATCGTGCAGTCTCAGCTCTAACACACTCCCCCGTCGCTGCCCGGCCGTGGTGAGACACACAAGACACACTCATGCTGCTGACAAGCAAACTCAACAGCCTCCTCGCTGTCTGCGTCCCCATCCAACGCAACGACTCGACCTCCAGGTAGTGTCTTTCAGCTCCCTGGCTCCAAGGGCAGAGTGGTACCTTGCTGAGCTCAGCTCCCATGGAAGAGCCCGAGCGGAGGAGGTCCCGGTCAGGCAGGTCGTCGTAGCTGTGTCTCGCGAGCCGGTGTCACGAGGCTGTTATAGCCCTGCTACTCGTGACCGCCGCGCCGAAACCGCAAGATGATTCTCAGTAGGGAAAGGAATACGCTGCGTGACAGCCGGGGCATCAAATAGCATTACAGCTTTTGCAGGAGTTATCTAGACTTTGCGCTGCGTCGTGACGCTACAAATCACACAACAGTAAATCTGTAAGTGGGTGCACGGATCAGAACAGCACTCGCGCTGCCAGGAGGGGAGGCAGGACTGGAAACAGGACACTAAATCACCCTCTTTGCCACCGCGGCTCGCAGGCAGCCAGGCTTCAGCCCTGGCACTCTGTCAAGGGGCAGATCGCTGCGGAGAAATCCCTGCCGCCAATCCCGGACAATTCAATTCCAGGAATCCAAAGCAGGACCTTCTCAGCTGCTCTCAGTGACAGCAGCAGCGAGTAAGGATTGACCTCAGAATGGAGGGAAAGTTCATCGGGAACAACCATCCCACTGGAGCATTTCAGGTCATCTCTAATCCAGAAATTTCACATGAAATGAACTCCCTGAAACCCTGCTCTTTTTTTTTTGGGGTATCACCCAGGAAATAATCTGTTTTCTGTGCCAAAGAACAGCCTGAAAATCAGGCAGAAGTTGAGGATGCCATCGGCCTTCTTGGTCACAAGGCCACATTGCTGGCTCGTAGTCCATCCTGTTGTCCAGCAGGACTCTGCCCAGGTCTTTCTCCTCAGAGCTGTTCTCCAGCAGGTCAGTCCCCCGCAGGGAGTGGAGGCAGGACAGGCTGGATGGATGGGCTGAGGTTCAACAAGGCCAAGTCCTGCATTTTGGTCACAACAACCCCCTGCAGCGCTACAGGCTGGGGGCAGAGTGGCTGGGGCTGCCTGGTGGAGAAGACCCCGGGGTTTTTGGTGGACAGCCAGCTGAACAGGAGCCAGCAGTGTGCCCAGGTGGCCAAGAAGGCCACCAGCATCTTGGCCTGCACCAGGACCAGCGTGGCCAGCAGGAGCATGGTCTAGTGCCTGAGATTGTGGGGGTCTGTGGTGTGTGTGTGTGGTTGGACTTGGTGATCCCAGAGGTCCTTTCCAACTATGACAATTCTGTGATTTGCAGTTCCCAAAGGGCAGCCACCAGACAGGAAAAAAAGAAAAATAAATCAGAAAATAAATCTAATGAGAGCACCTTCATCACGTTAGTGCATCGCTCCCGGGCGGGACATGAGCCCTCGCTGCCACCGGGATCAAAAGTAACTTGCAAAGAAAATGGAGAGGCAGCGTTTGGATGCAGAAAAACACCGCTGCAAAAAAAAAATTTAAATAAGTTGCTTTGGGGGAAAATAATCGTGATCTTGAAGGAAAATAACAGAGTGTGCGGGTGGCAGGGGCTGCAGTTGGTTTCCAGGAGAAGCAGCCGAGTGGGGAGGACATTTTATTCACGTTGCCGTTTTTGTGCGACGTTGCCGTTTTCGTTGGAGGAGCAGCCTCCAAGCGCCCGGGGAAGGCAGCGGAGCCCCCGCCGGGCCGAGGCCACCGAGGGGACGGGCACGGCCACCTCCGCCGGGCGTCGGTGCCCAAGGGACAGTCCCAGCCCCGGGCCGAGGTGTCGGCGCAGCTCCCCCGGGGCCGGGCGGGACAAACCCCGCTTCCGCCGGTGCTCACGGCCCGGTCTCTGAACGGGGACTTTCGGGTTTGGTTTTTTATAATTTTCTTTCGCTGTTTTCTTCTTTTTGTTTCGCTGCCGTTTTCCTCTTCCGTTCACCTGCGGCGCCCCGAAATCGCACCGAAACGCGGATTCCTCCCCCCGTCCCAAGCGACACCGATCTCCAGCCGCAGGGGGACACCGGGCCAGC